AACATTTTTATAGATTTATTTATTCATACATCCAAGAACTGGGGTGCAGGCAGGGAGTGGGGGTGGGAGGCGCCCCAGAGACACAGCGGGGAGCAGCACAGGGGGATCCCCTGAATGCACTGCTGAGGGGGCAGCGGGGAGCACCCTGGGGTCCCTCCCTGGCCAACAGGGGAGCAATCTCGTGCTGAGACTCACCCTGCACCATCAGGGACACCCCCAACTTCTGTATAGATTTATTTGTTCATGCATCCAAGAACTGGGGTGCAGGCAGGGCTGTGGGGCTGGGAGGCGCCCCGAGACAGAGCGGGGAGCAGCACAGGGGGATCCCCTGAATGCACTGCTGAGGGGGCAGCGGGGAGCGCCCTGGGGTCCCATCAGGGACACCCCAATGTTCTTACAGATGCAGTCATGCATGCAAGAGCTGGCCCTCACCCCCACCCCGCTGGCCTGCACCCCAGCTCCTGTCTGCAGCGCGCACAGCAGCCCGCCCCGTGTCTCGGGGCTCAGCTCGGTCAGCAACGGGCAGCCGGAAGCGCAGCCCGGCCCCGGCCCCCCCCCGTCCCCGCGGCCTGCAGGGGACAGGCAGAAGCCCACAGCGCCCTGGGCGTGTCCACTCCTGCGGCCGAGGGCGGTGGGAGGCGGCTGGGGCCGGCGGGTCGTGGCCCCGCTGGGACTCGGGGTGGCCTCTGCCCGTGCTGGTCAGGCCCCGGGCTGGGGCTGGGCTGCCACCTGGTTGCCTAAGAGCCTCTGCTCACAGACCCTGCCTGTTCCTTTCTTGGGTTTTAATTTACGTCGGTAAATATTGATTTTTCCTTCTCTAATGGATGAATTATAGACAGCCGGAGAAGGGCAGGTGATGGATGGAGGGGGCAGGGACGCAGCCACCTTCAGCTGACCTTCACTTTCCCTCAAGCGGCCCTAGGTCTCAGTTCTGCTACCCGAGGTTCAAACCCTGCTCACATGCCACCTCCTCATGCCCTCCCTGATAGTCCTTCGCGAAGCAGTGCTTTCCTGCCCTGCCTTTATCTCTCTCCTGGCCTTTACCACTTTGCCTTGTGCTAAAGCTCTGTATGAAAGCGTCTTATCTCCTCAGCTAGACTGTGAGCCCTGTGCAGGCTGGGACCATGCATTATTCATCTTTGCATTTCCCGCAGCATCTAACCCCGTGCCTAGCTTTCAGAAGGCTGCAAGCACACGTCTGTGGGACACATGGGTGAATTCCAGAGGCAAATGGGACTGAAGCCCCTCGGGGCTCCAGGGTTCTGCTATTTTGAACTCTGAATTTTGGTAACATTTGCTTCAGAAAAGTCCACGGTGAAAGTCTTGCACTTTCTCCACATGAACCAAATGCTCAGAGGGGTGGGGAGATTTCCTCTCTCACTTCTCACTCACTCACTGGGTTCTCCTAGCCTGTAGGGCTCCGCCCTGATGTGTGGAGCAATGTTGGGACAGACAAGAGGCCCAGCAGGGTTCTGTAACCCTCTCCGCTCTCTCAGGTGGCTGGTGTTTGTTCACCCAAGACACAGAATGTTACCAGAGGGCTGTGAGGTGACCAGTGCTCTGGGGAGGGGGACCCCCGAGTTGGAGTCCACAGAGGCACGTGCCAAGGACCACTGGCACAGGAAGGGTATGTGGGCAGCTTGAGGGTCCAGGCCTGGCCCAGCCCAGAACTGACAGGTGCGCAGCCCTGACAGACGTGCTGGATGGTCTCCTCTGTCCACAGGGAGCATCTGAACTGACCACATGCCAGTGCAGGCTGGGCAGGGCTACGATGCCCGGTGGTGTCAGGGGTGTGTGCCCGTCTTACCCTGCCAATACCTACTGTGGTCACCTGTGCCCTATATACTCTGCCACAGCTAAGCAGAGACACCCACAGCTTCGTGTTCACTGCCGTTAGGGCCTTAAGGTCAGGGCCTAGTTTCCACCAAGATTATGTACTTGCCAAACACATTCAGCAGCAGTTTCTGTGTGCCAGGCACCGAGCGGGCTGTGCACGAGGCCAGAGCTCAGGGTCCATGGTGACAGGGAAGCCCATGCAGAGTGCCAAAGGCCTGCCGGGAGGGCGGGACTGAGAGGGGGTGCAGGGTTGAGACTCTCGCCCAGGCTTGGAGGAGGAACTAAGTGATCCTCCCTCTGCGACAGAATGATGAATGAGCTGAGTCACTCAGATGAGGGGCAGGAAGGGTGTGCGGGCAGCTTGAGCTTCTAGGCCTGGCCCAGCCCAGAACTGAAAGAACGTGGGTGTCTGGCACTTAGGTGTCGAGGGCAGGTAGAGTGTGATGAGGTCGGGACAACACTGGGCTCGGGGACACGTCATGGAGAGGACATTGGGAGCTGCCAGCGGGCTTCAGGGGAACTGGGGTATAGTTACACCCGCATTTTCAGGAGCTCACTCTGGGGAGCTAGACACAGGGAGGCCAAGGTGGTGCCAGTGGAATCCCCTTGAGAGAGGCCAGGCATGGCATAGGGTGCACACATGAGGACAGATCAGAGGCGAGTTTAGGGGTGTTGGCAGGACCCGTGTTTGGCGTGGGAGAGGCCTGTTCACGCCTGTTGCTGCTGGCAGGTCCCCTCTCATGCTCAGTGAGTCCTGTGTGGGCAATGAGCCCCCTGTCACCCTAGACGTCATGAGGGCAGATCAGGCACCTGAGGCTCTGTGTCTCTGGTGCCCGCCGTGAGGGGCCCTCCATGTTCTTTTTGGCATTGGAGAAAAGCCCGTGCGGTACCGGGCAGCTGACTGGGGGCCCAGCTGCAGCCCCTCACACCCTTTGTGGTGTGCTCCCCACCTGGCCACTTGCTGTGGGGATTTGGGGCATAGACACGTACCTGAGAAGTGGGAGCAAACACACTCACCCCCGGGACCTGTCCAGGGACAGCCCTGGGCCTGCCTGCAGTCAAGGAGTAGCGGGGAGCAGGGCGGTTTGTGCAGGCGCGCGAGAGGGCTGGGTTCTCAGGCCACAGCAGCAGAGCACGAGGCTCCTAGATGCTCTGAGGTCCTGGCAGTGACACTTTATTAGCCAGAGAAGGAAAGCAGTGTCTCTGTTAACAAGCAATTGATCTTCTGCAATTAATCTGGAAGTTGTGAATAAGCTTTTTGCAAGGCACCTAATTAGTAAATCTGGTGCCTTTGGGGGGTGATTATATCCAGTCAAGATTGATGCTTTGTTAATAATTATATTTTAAAACACCCTTGGTCACAGCCCCCCCCTTCTGGGGGGTTGGGGGAGGAGACCTTGAGGGGTCAAGCAGGTGACCTAGCCCATTCCCAAAGCCAAGTTCCCTGGGCCACCCACCGCTCCTCTGCTCTGGAGACCCACTGGCATGTTTCAGCCTGAGGGCAGTGCCAGCTCAGGCCACGGGGGTTTGCTCCCCAGCAGCAGTTCTTGAACCATCACGCTGAGGATCATCTGCCTAGTGCACTTGTTAAAAATAGATTCTGGGTCTCATGCCTGACTCAGGAGGCCCAGGAGGAATCTGGGCTTCTGACTACCAATAGCACTGGGGTGATTCCCAACCCCTCGGAGGGAGACTCGCCCCTGGAGATCCAGCACTTCTGCCTGGACACCACTCAGGCGCCGGCCGGGCCGTGACCCCCTCACCTTGTCACAACTGGTCTCAGCACATCCCCAAGGGGTGTACTGCAGACATCACTCCCAAGAGAAAAATCTTTGAGAGAGGTGTCTATAGTCAAGTCTATTTGAACATTTTATCTATCTTTGGGGAAAAATTGCTCATGGCCAAGTTAAGGCCTGCAGCAAGAAACCCGCCTGCCTCTGCAGAACCCAACTGCCCCACAGTGGACTCTGTATGCCCTTTTTGAGGCCATGCGGACATCGGTTCCGTGGAACCTGGTGTCTGGCCACACTCTGGCCCATGTCCCTCAGCCTGGTGTTCCCCAAGCAGCAGGTGGCCAGCTTCCTGCTGGGACCGCCCTCCACCCCACAGGCTCGAACTCAAGTCCTGTCCTTGCCTCCTCTCTGTTCTTTCACCAGGGCACCTCCCTCCACCTCAGCTCTTGCAGAAAGCCTTTCCGAGTCCTACACCTTCCTCCTTGACCCAGATGCTCAGAGTGAGCGATACCGGAAGAGGCGGTTGGCTGAGGCGCTGCGGTGGGCGAAGTTGTTGAAGAAGATCTCCAGCTCCTGGTCGTTGTCAAAGTCGGCGGCGATGACTGTGCGGACGGGAGAGGGCATGGAGAACTTGGGCGAGGCGATGTCCTGGGAGGAGAGAGGCCGCAGGTCAGCGGGCAGGTGCCTGGCGCGGGGGTGCGAGCGGGTGAGAGCGGCCCATGTCACACTTGGAGCCACTGAGCCACTGCTGTTTCCACACTCAGGCCTCCTGTGGGTAACCTGAGGCAGGGCAGACACCAGCATGCCCACTCCCAGGCCTCCCTGGAGAAGGAGGGTGTGGCTCACACGCATGTCTGACGAGTGGGGCCACTTCGGGGTGTCTGGTCCCAGATTCTGTGCCCTTTCTAGACCCACAGTGAGGCTGGTGCTGGGTGGACGCTGACAGCTGGGCATTTGGACCCAGGTTTCTCTGCTGATGAGCTGGTGTGGCCTTAGTGTAGGTGCTCAGCTCCTGGGGTCTCGCTTGCCTCATCAGCCATACGGGCACAGCGGTAGCAGCCACGTCGGGAGGGCAGTGTGGGAAGTGCTTGGCATGCGGTGGGCATGCGTCCCTGCTCTGCCCTGGCTCTGTGCTCGGCAGCATGACAGTGGTGGGGGCTGCCTCTAGAACCTTGTGTTCGTTTTGGGAAGTCTTTTGCTTTTTTCCTTTCTTGAAACATTTGCTTGGGGGGGGGTGCAGTGTCAGATATACCTGCCCAGGGCTCGTGGGGAGACCTCAGCCTGGGAGATCCCCGCTGGCCTACAGAGGGCTGACAGGGCTTTGGTGGGCAGAAGGCCCTGGCGCAGGACTGAGCTCCGAGATAGAAGAACCGTGCATGGAGACCTTTTTTGTTTGTAAGCAGAATATCCATGCTAGATGGATTTGTCTCCTAAAGATCCCGGGAAGCAGTCTAAATCTCAGGGTCTTCCTGGAGAGGCCTGGGGAGGGCACCACTGCTGATCCCCAGGGCGCCCCTCTGCGGCCTGGCCTGTCCCTCGCCCTCTCCCCGTAGGTCCGCTCCATGGGCCCAGCCGGTCTGGGACAGCTGGCGCACTGCCTGTTCAGGGGAGGCCAGGAAGGAAGGCTGTCCTCATTGGCTCAGTAATGAGGCTGATGAAGAGCCCGGCCAGCTGGCCGGGGTGGGCCAGGCAGGGCCTTAAGAGCTGGGGAACAAAGAGACCTCAGGATCTTTAACTCATTATTATTCTATTGATCCTATAAAAATGGAAACCTACATAGCCCCCTGGGGGTCGCTCCACCACCCGCCTGGGATAATGTATGTAAAACGCTTAGCACAGTTCCTGGCACACGGGAGGCACCTGATAAATGGGGCAGCTATTATTATTCCTCTAGCTCCGTGAGCTCTGGGAAGAGGCCATCGGGAGGCTAGCAGGGCTTCTCAGCTCAGCACTCTGACATTTGGGGCTGGGTCCTTCTTGGGGGGGGGAGGGGCTGTCCAGGAAATCCTAGGCTGTTAGGCAGCATCCTTCGCCTCCACCCACCAGTCGCCAGTATCCCGTTTGTCAAGAAAGCCCCAGACATGGTCCGCTGTCCCCCAGATGCCACCTTCACTGTGCAGCCACAGCCCATCTCAGCCTGGGGGAGGTGCGGAGGGGCTGTATCCCCTGACCACGCGGGGGCCACTCACAGTGCTGGGTGGCGCAAAGGGGAGGGAGAGCGAGAGGCCCTGCTTACCCGGAAGCGGACCTTCCCGTGGGCGCTCATCTGCAGGTAGAGCCGGTGGGGGCCGTTCCAGTTTCCGTACACGATGTCGACTTTGCCGTCGCGGTTGAAGTCGGCCAGGGCCACTCCTCTGCCGTGCTGGTGGGGGTCATCCACACCTGGGGAGGAAGGTCGGAGCCCTGAGGGCAGCGCCTGGAGCTTCTGCGAGCACTCCTCTGGAATTCTAGGGGAGCGGCGGCCAGGCAACACAGCGCTGTCCCTCCCGGGCACCGGCCACCGGCCACCGGGAGCAGCAGGGCCTGCCAGGACTTCTCCACAGGGGACGGGGCGGCACAGCCATCTATCAGTAGTTGCGAAGGGGACCAGAACTTGTCGTCTATCTGTTCTTGCCAGCAAGCACTGTTTTGCTCCATTTGAGGGTCCCTTGGGGCAGGGAGAATGGTGGAAATTCTGGAGGACTAAAGGCCTCCCCGGTCACCCCCACACTGCCACAGGGGTACATTAAGCTGACTGGTACCTTTGCTGCAACCTTCCCAGTGTCCTCAGGTCAATCAAACTCCTGCAGGGTAGACACCTGCCTGCCTTAACTGGTCTCCCTCACTAAACTCCGGTCACCCTGTATTCTTTTCATTTCTCAGATGAACTGAGCTCTTTCCAGCTTCTATGACTTTGTTCAAGCTGTGACTCTTTCCCTGGTTCTTGGTTATTCTGCTCTCAGCTACAAAGTCACCTCCTCAGGGAAGTCCTCCCAGATCACTTCCATGGAAATAGGACCTGGCCTCCCCCCACCCACCCTTCTCCCTGACAGCCTTCTATTCTTTCCCTCTACTGTGTAATTATGTCCCTTTACCTTCTACTCACTTAGGGTGTCTGGTTTCCCCACTGAACCTTGTGCTCTGTGAGGTCAGGAACTGCCTTCTTGGTCACCTTTGTGGTCATCATAGATACCTGAAATGACTGTGTTGGTCCCCTGGGACATTGGTGACAACAGAAGAAATACTGTCCTGTGACAGAGAAGCCCAAGGTGCCTTGTGAGATTATGGAAGAGAAGCCTGTGTCCCATGTCAAGTGCTAGTGGGACTGAGCCAATCCCGGGGGAGCACAGATGGCAGTTTGCCCACAGCGTGGCCTGGCAGCTACCTGCCCCAGGTGGACTTGTTCCCTCAGACACGTACGACCTGAGGGCGAGGGTGCCGGAGAGGGCCCCTTGCCCTGGGTCATCAAGCAGTCAGGGTGGGGGACCATGGGACAATAGGAAGTGGGTGGGGATCCCAGGAAGTTCTTGCCAGCTGCAAATATGGAGGTTCTGCGGATGGGAGCCAGGAGGAGTGGGGTGAAGCCCTCTGGGAACCTTGGGTGCTGAGCATCCTCTTGGGCGCGGGAGGCAGGGGGAGAAGAGGCAGTAAGACCCAGGCTTCAGAAAAGGGGTTTGCAAAGGAATTGGGGCAGCTTCCAACCTGTAGGATTAACACCCCATTAATTCTCTGCAAAATTCCCAGCCCTAGTGTCAGTGGCCTTCCGTGTTGGCCCATTTCTCTCCTATCTACGAGGCACCTTGACAAGGAGCTGGTTCCCTTTCGCGGGAATAATCGGTGCCAGGCTGCATTTCACAGCAGCATCTGTTTGGGTGATGAATGCCCTCTTGACATGTCTTGTTAAACCCCTGCAATCATTCTGACTTTCAATTACGGGCCTAACACCTTCCTCTCTCCTCCCGCCTGATACCTTCTCCTGCTCCAACTTGTTGGCTCACCTCTGCTTCCATCTCTTTAACACGTTATCAAATGCTCTAGGTTTTCTCCACCACAACCTCCCCTTCATTTTATGATTTTTCAGTGATGAGAAAATTTGCAGCCAGAGTATATGGCACCAGGAGGGGTGGGCTGGGAGGGAGGACAGGCCAGGGGTAATACTTCCCAACTTCGGCTTTGCCAGGGAGGAGAAGAGGGCAGGACAAGGATGGGAACTCATTGGCTGCTAGTAGGTGGTGGGGCTGACTGTTCAAAACGGGAACAGGGAGCAGCGGGCTGGGGAAGCAGGTTCTTGTCAGTCATGGAGGGTAGATGGGTACATGCTCAGGGCTTGAAGCCAACGTCAGCTCTGGCTGGAGCTCAGAGGACCTTTGATCTGTGTCCAGACCCCTGCTCTCCTCCTCTTCTGGAGGCCAGAGTTTGTCTCTTTACCTCCTAGAAAGAGGTAAAAATCAAACCATCCCTTCATTGGCAAGGTGGGGAGGAAACGGAAGGGAGAGATATTTAGCGGAAGGGCAGACTAAATAGATCCAGAGCTGGTAAGTGTCAATTCCATCATTCAGCAAAATTTTTTTGGGTGACCACTGTGTGCCAAGTATTGTAGCAAGGTGAACAGTCTTGTGGACTCAGATTATTGGAGCAGTGTAGAGGCCTGAGGGAGAGGGACATTCAAGGGGCGGAATGCGGAGGAGGGATGCCATCTTGACAGGTGGCACAGAAGGAGTCAGGAAAGGCTTCATGAAAATCTCTGAGTTAAATGTTAAAAAATAAATAGAAGTTCTGCAGATAGAGAAGCGAGAGAGGGCACTTAGGTACAGAGGATGGGAAGTGCAAAGGTCCTGAGGTTGATGAGGGATGAACACAATGGAAGAAGAGAGACGAACTGGGAGCCTGGAGTGCTATTCCGTGTAGATTTTATCCAGCTCTTATTATAGCTATTTGTTTATTCGTCTGTTTCTTCCTATACAATGTCAGTGCCTCTGTGTGTGTTGTTTGGGTGGGGGCGGTATTGAGGGGTTAGGTGGTCTCAGCCTTAGTCAGGCTAGCCTCTCCTGTTCATACCACCAACAGGCTGAGACTTAGCAAGGACTTGATAGATGGTTATTGAACGGGATGGAATGTTTAAGATAAACATGGGGGCAAGGAATGGAGAGAGGCAGCTTGGAAGGGGAACTTGATGCTGAGAGACACAAACAGGACACAGAGGAGCACGGGCCAATTAGTTTGCTGGCAAACGGATAATGGTCAGGATTTCCAGGGGCCCCTCTCTCCAGTAGCAAACATGCCCCGTGGCCTGAGCCTGGAGGATGTGGAATTGCAGGGGACCAGCAAGGCCCTCTCGAGTGGTTTGGAGGAAGACTTCTCCTGAGGCATGTGGGGGCTGACCTGGAGTGGGCAGGGAGACCAGTCTTCCCTGTGGGTCTGGGGGTGCTGAGGGACCCAGGGCGGGGGTGCACTCACCAGCGCTGGCTGCAGCATCCACAAAGGTGCCATCACCTCGGTTGTGGAAGAGGAAATTGGGCCCATTCTCGTTGTCGCAGAAGATGTCTGAAGCACTGTTGCTGAGGATGGGGCCCACGCTGACACCCCGACCCCCTAGGAGAGGACACGACTCAGCCTGAGGGGCAGAATTAAAGCCCAGTCCTGCTTGGAGGACAGGGCTGCCCCTGAGGAGAGCCAAAAAATGCATCAGAAAGCACTGGGGGGGGGGGACTCCCGACCTTCTGGAGGCTTCCCATGAGCCCAGGTATGGGCTCCAGGCTCCATCAACGATGATGAGGTTGGCCAGGGGCAAGGTCCAGCCGCTTCGTGCCAGAAGGATCCCATAACTGAAGGAACAGACCCTGCCTCCATGGCTGAATGACGATAACCCTAAGTCCAGCTGGACCCTCACATTTCAGCCAAGTCCTGGACAGCCCCCACCCCACCCTGAGCCACACGTAGTCTCATCAAAACAGTGGTCACTTGTGATAGCACCTGCAGGGCCTGACTCCTGACAGAGGTAGAAGGACACAGACTGCTTTGCTCGACATACAACCGCCTGGGACAACTGTGTGTCCTCAACAGCCGCTGGCTGCAGGATGACAGTGCAGACACCAGACGGTCTATCCTGTAGCTAAAAAGCCGGCCTGGGTCCACATTACCGGCTAGGTGGCGGGCCCACCATATAGTGCTAAATGAAAAGGAAAGTTGCCAAGAAATGGCACTGCTTAACTTTAATTTAAAAAATAGGAAAATAAGTCTGCTCTTTCTAAACATGTTTGTGCAGGCTTGTTCTTAAGTGTGGGGGAAAGTGAGAGGGCTGCAGACAGAGCTGTCCACACTGGCAACCTGGCTGGGGTGGGATGGGGGAGGAAAGGAGAGATGCAGCTGACATTTTCTGGCAATGTCTTTGTGTTGCTCTGCTTGTTGTTTCTGTAGTTTAAATTCATAAAACCTCATAAATCATATACTTTTTTTTTTTTTTAAAAAAGAAAGAAATCAAGTCCACTCTACATTTGGGTTAGCTGCATTCAAGTTCAATTTGAGCTACCCCTGCCAATAAGTCCAATCCGGTCTTGAACCATCCCTTCCCAAGTCTGGGCATCCGAGCCCTGACGTCACCCTGTAGCGCACACTAGAAGTTGGAAATAGTTTGTGGAAAACAGCCTGACCAGCATTGGGACATGGCTTCTTGGCCCAGCATGGCTTTTTATAAGCAGTGACTGCTCCAATGACATAGGCTTGAGCCCAGTCAGCCTGCATGGTACCTCTCTCCAGCACACAGTAAAGGTCAATGGCAAATAGATGGAAGAGACTGGCTTAGACCAGAGGAGGGGCCTCTTGTCCCAAGGACTGTTCCTCTAGTCTTTGGGGCTGCTGTAACAGAATACAATTGCCATAAATCAGTAAGCCTCAGTTTTCTCATCTGTAAAGTGGGGATAGTGTGACCCAGTTTTGTCTTTTCAACTGTCAGGTTTTAAGAGGATAAAATAGATGAATTTGTGAAGGGTCTTTCCAAGTCCTACAACCTTCCTACTCCCAGGATGCCTGGGGCCAGCTTGAATGGGGTGCAGCACCTAAGAACCCCACCCAATCAGAGCCTGAGCTCCAGCGGGGTACCCAGGGGCTCACCTGTGCAGCAAAGTTGCCACAGCAATGCTCTGAAGAGCTGGTGGGTGGGTGCAATGAGAATGATTACCAGAGATCTTGCTTTCTTTACTCTTTACTCTTTCAATAAACGAGAGCCCAGACAGACCTGAGCGCGCGGGACCAAGCCCACCCCTGCTGCCCATCCCTCCTGCTGCCTACAGATGGACTGAGGTCTCCACAAAGCAACCAAGGTGTTTCTGGGAAGAGGGTCTCTGTCCCCGGCGCCTCTGGCCTGCAGAGAGATGCCTGTGGGCGACGTCAGGGGCCCTTTCTCCCCAGTGTAATTGGAGCGCCTCCCCTCCAGGGCTGGGGCTTGGGGCCAGGGGACTGGGGGTTGGGGGGACACTGTACGCCTCCTCTCCCTGCTCTCCTGGCTGGGATCCTCCTTAATGCGGCCTGGGCCTTGGCCTCCCGATTCCTCCTGGTAATCTAATTAGCTCTCAAGGCGTGGGAAAGCCACTGAGCCCACACTCTCGGGGGAGAGCACCATGATGTGATGTGTTTTCCTCATTAGGGGGACCTCGGTGAGGGGCAGGGGATTTTCCACGCCTTCTGGAGCAGCAAGCCGGGGTGCTGGTGACAACCTGGGCACCGCTGCTGCAGCCCATTGGGAAGAGGCGCCTCCGCTGGCCCTGTCCTGGCTCCGCTAGACTCCAGCCAAGGGGTCCCCGTCATTCCTGGTGGGGTGCTGAGCCTGGCACCATGCAACCCCATGCTCCCCCGCCGCCCCACTCTGGCATCCTCCAATTTCCTCTCTGCCTCTGGCTCCTGAGCTGTGACACATTCCCTTCATTTTCTACAAAGCAGGTTATTTCCCTTTTGGACAAATTTCTAAATCTTTCTAATTAACTAATTGGGTTGGGTTGAAGCCTTGCACCATTTGTAACCTGTAATTACTAGAAAATTGCCATGGTAACCACACTACTAATTAGTGGCAATTTATTGCCATGGCAACCAGACCATAACAGAGATGTTACCCACAACTCCTTCTTGGCAAGTCCCCTGCACAGTTGGGGAGCAGGTGAGTTGGTTGTCGGGGAGCTGGCCTCTGGGCACCAGACCCAGCAGCCTCAGGATGAGGGGCCCCACTGGAGCCTGGAGGCAGGGCCAGCCAAGCGCCTGGCCCCTTGCTAGTGCCACAGAGGACACCACTCCCGGGTCAGTCACGCAAGTCCTCTGTGAGCCAACGAGATGCATCCGCCGCCATGAGTGCAGCCTCCGCCCTCTCTCCCTGCCAGCCAAGGACTAGGACGAGGTCATGATCAGCTTAGTTTCCTGCCTCTCTCTCCTTCCCAGCTCAGTTTTCATCACGCCCACCCTGTGCCCTCTTCTAAGGTTTAACTCGCACCTTAGCGACTTGCCTCTAAAAATGCAGCGAGGAGCATTTTTATTTTACCTTGGAGACTGGGGCCCTGATAGGGAGTTACCTCCACACCACATCAGTTAGTCCCTTCCTACTTGAGGCCAGCCATCCTCTGGGGACCAGCCTTCCCTCAGTTGGGGCTGGAGAGGCAGTAGGGAGGGGGGCGAGACTAGGGACCAGAAAGTTCAAACCCTGTGGCTGTGTGACCTTGGGAACGTAGTTGAACCTTCCTGGGCCTCCGCTTTCTCACCTATAACTCGAGACGGGTAATAATAGCTGCTTCTTGGGGCTGTCATAAATATTAAGTGAATTGGTTTTTGGAAGATACCTTGGAAAATGTCAGGTGCCACAGTCATTAGCTGGACTATTTCCCACCTGCTGAGTGAGTAATATCTCTTTATGTTCCCAACACTCCGGAGCTTCAAAGGGCTCCCCATTCCAGGGTAGGGTGTGAATGCGGCTCCCACTGTCCCTTCCTGAAGGCTTCTCACTCTGCCCAGCGGGCTGGGCAGGGGGGACATGCTCTCCAGGGCTCCCTCTACCTCCTGCCACCTTCTGGCACCTCCCTCTGATGACCTGCCCACTGGGTCAGCGTCCCACAGGACAGCCTTTAAGAGCTGCACCCCCAGACCTCTGAACCACCACACCTGGGTGACACAGGCTTAAGTCCAATTTTGGTGAAGGTGATCCACCCTCAGGTTGCCTCTGGCCCAGCTCTGGGGGTGGGAGAAATACACTAAAGCAGGGGAAGAAAGATTGTGGGAGCAGGGCTGTGCTGCTGAGCCACCCAAATCTTGGCACCAGGACCCGGGACAAAGAGGCAGAGACATGCAGGGTGCTGAGGAGTTGCTGCCATGTTCTAGCCTGGCCTCCTCCCCTGTGGGGTGCAGGGACTTGGGGAGCATATGCCCTCCAGGCCTTGGTCTCCTTCCTGCGAGGTGGACGGTGCCCCCGGACCCTTCCAGCTCCACTTCCCAGGGCTTGCTCCACGCTGCACCCGGATGAGCGTGTCTGGGAGCGGGTTCCTGGGTCCAGACCGCGCGGTGGAGGCACTGAGGAGAGACCCACCAGCCGGGGCGCTCGGGCCGTGAGAGTAGTCTGCTCTCACTGGGACAGAAACACGACTCTGGTGGACGCCAAGGCCTGCACTCTGCCAAAACATCCACGACACTGTCAACTGTGAACGAGCAGCGAGGGTGCCGGGAACGCGGCGGGTGCGGACGGGCGAGCAGGCCCACGCACGCACCAGGGAGCTGTGTCGGAGAACTGGGGGAGCGTGAGGTGAGGCACTGACAGTCTCGCATCCCAGTGTCCCTGAAACTGGCGGAGAATAAGGCTGCGTTTGTGCTGCTGTGGCCTCGGTGCTGGGCAGGGTTCCGAGGCCACGCGTGGGAACACCTAACGGCCGGGACGTTCCCACTGCCCCCCCAACCCTCGTGCCGCCGCTGTAGGCCACCGACGGGAGGTGGGCAGAGGGACAGGCTCATCATGGTCTGCTGCATGGGGACTTCCAAGCCGGGGGCGTCTGGGGGTGTATGTGGGTGCTGGAGGGCTGTCAGCAGGAAGGGCAGGTAAAGAGGGGACCGAGGTGTCCTCTGCCTACCAGTCCTGTACCAGGCTTGGCGCCTTGCCGTTTTCTACGTGGGGAAACTGAGGCTGAGGGAGGCAGGATGGCAGCCAGAGGGCAATGGGTTGCCCCTCAAGTTCAGGTGGGCATGACCCCGGGCCCAAGCTATCTTCACAGTGCGCTCACAAACATCTCACTAGAGCCCCTTCTCTGCCGAGGACTCTGTGCTCTCGATAGGCGCCAGCGTGGCCAGCCCCAGGCCTGACATTTCTTTAAAATCTCTTGTTTTAGCTGAAAGAAAAAGAAAAGTACACCAAGATGGCTCTTGCTCTGTCTAGCACATCTTGAAAAGTGATGTCCGCTCTTGTCAATCATATAAAGCATCAGATCCCCCGTGTATCCTGGGGCTCCGGGCGCCCCTGGAAAGCCCGTGGCGGTACTCCCTGGCCCCTGGTCTGGTGGCCCGGCTCGCCAGCCCTGCCTGTCAGCCCTGGGGGCTGTGCTCCCGCTCCGCCAGTGCTTGCTGGGGACCCAGGGGGCTCCGTGGCCCTGGCCCTGCCACCCCTCCCCCATCACCTCTCTGCGCCGGCTGGTAGGGATCTGCCAGAAGGTCTCAGCTGGGCTTTAGGCCTCTCCGTCTCCTCCAATAATGACTTCCTATAAATCAGATCTGCCCTCCGCTTTGTTCCACACCGCTCCCAGCCTACAGCGAAACTCCCCACCCAACACCATAAATCCACCTTCATTTTCTTTCCAAATTTCTTTTAAGGCTTCTTTAATCACCACCTTGCAGCCTGGACAGATGCTCCCTTAAAGGGTGAGGCCAGATGCAGAGTCCCCTGGGGGGAGCAGCGAGGCCGGGGAGAGGCAGGGTCAGTGGCAAGAGCCGTGGGTTCCAGTGGGAAAGGGGTGCTCAGGGCTGGAGGACTGGCTGGCACCCGGGACGAAGACCAGGGCAGGGCCGGGCCTGCTCCTTCTGTGCTTCCTGCACCCAGCATGGCACTCCCTACACCCTCAGCAGAGGGCCCTGGCATCACTGTCGGGACCCCAGAAAAGGAGGTGCTCGTGTCAGCCACCCTCCATGGGCACTGCCTGTGTGCCAGACCTGTGCCAGGCACATCCCATTGTCTCCTTCCATTTTCAACCATTTTGCAGGTGAGAAAACTGAGGTCCGGTGAGGGGTATTTGCCCACTGCCACCCAGATAGGAGGATGGTGGCAGCAGGACCTGGCCCAGCAGAGTGACTCCAAATCCTGTCCTCTAAGGGTCTGCTAGACCGCCAGCTTCAGGCACTCAGAGAGGCCGAGCGCGTATGTCCCCAGGTCAAAGGGGCCGCAGAGGCCGTGCAGACCTCGTGATCCCTGGCTTCCCGCCTTCGTTTCATGCCAGGCCTTCTGCCAGGACTGCCACGCAGGGCCATGTCCGCACCATCAGGGCTCCATGTGGCTGCAAGCAGCTGGGGAATTCTGAGCTTGGGATCCTTTGGGAGCCATGACCCGCCCGTGGGTGGGGCCTTCACTGCCCAATTCAGCACCAGCAGCTCTCCCAGGGCCGCCCTCCAGGGGCCCTCCAGTCCCCTGAGAGTGGGCACCATGGCCACTAGATGGCACTGTGACCCAGCAGAGCAGCGGCTGCTGGCAGACTTGGAGTCTAGCAGGAGGCCTCCCCTCCCCCTCCAACAGGGCCAGACAGCCCTGGGTGAGGGCAGCACCACTGCCCGTTGCTGACACAGTGGCCCGGCTCCCCTTGCTGCCCTCAACAAGGCAGTTGCTTCAGCCACAGAAACCCAGGGCTGCAAAGCGAGTCCTGGATGCCAACCCGAGGCAACTTCCCTGTGGGTGCGGAGCCTTCCTCTGCCACTAGCCCCTCCTGTCTCCTGTCTCCTGGCCCGAGGGGACTCTTGAGCTGAGGTTATCAGGAAGGTCAGCTGGCTGGGCAGTTTAGGCACCAGGGGGTGGGGGATCTGAGTGCTAGTTTATCTACAAACCTCCTGTGTGACCTTGGGCAAGTCCCTTCTCTCTGGCCTCAGGGGCTGTTTTTTTGCAAAAGGGAGGGTCTCAGGGTCTGGCCAGCAGAGGACCTGGCTTCCTCGAGCACTGCCCCCTCAGGTTACCTGCTCCCTTCCCCCCTGCCGTCAGGCTAGGCTCTGTGTGGTGACCCTTACCCTTGGGGCCCGTTCCTGGAACTCAGGGAGTCACACTAGGCTATTTTTCCGGCCAGATGTCCATGTGTCGTTAATGGAATGACAATGGGGGCTGCCGGGTAGAGTTGGGGAACTTGGCGGGCAGGGAGAGGGTGGGCTGGAGAAGGCAGGCAGACAGAATAGTAACTCAGTGGGCCAAATAGGTTCTTGTCAGCCAAATGGCTTTTGGAAGTCGGCAAAGCTGCTCTAACGTGTCCTCTGGGCATGCCAGCCGCCCTGGCCTGCCTGGCTGCGCCACAGACGCTGTGCCCCTTCCTTGCGCTGCCCCGTCCTTCCAGCACAGCCTGGCACCGTTAGCCGGTGCTCCTGTCCCTGTCCATGCTGCTCAGCTGTCTCCTCCCGGCCCCCTCCTGCCCCTGCCTCCCTTCCCGCCAGCCCCTCCGCTAGCCCAGCCAGCGCGAACAATGTCCCCTTCATGCTCAAACCCAGCCGCAACCTTCTGGATTCTTTTATTCTGTGTATAACCCTGTCTCCCAGACCTTGCCTCCTTTCCATCTCATCATTTTCAAGTGCTTCATCTCCCCAGCCCACCCTCCTTCTCCAGCAGATCAAGGCACTTAATTGCCAAGCCAGCCCAGCGCGCAGAACTGGGAACTGTTCAGAGGAATTGACTGTACAAATCTAGGCTGAAGCTCCTGCATGCTTATTCTTTTTCCCGGGAAAACATGGTTTATTACTGACACTCAGCCTTCCTGCTGCACTCTGGTGTGGAGCTCTGGAGCACGCTGAGGAGGCTGGAGCCCTGCAAACTATTTTACTGTCCAGTCATTTGTTCCCACTAACTTTGTCAGGCAGGTCGACATCCATCTCCCCTCCATGGAGGAGGAGAGTGGCTACAGCAGTGCATGGTAAGGCTGAGGCCACCTCTTCTAGGCAGACTTTGCGGTTATGCCACACCAGGTGTCTGGGGTCTGAAATGGCTCCACCCTTCATGTCCAGCCAGGATTCCCCATCAGGCAGGCTGTCCCTTTGGAAGGCCGTGGCTGGGCCAGTGGGGATGGCTAGATCAGGAACGACAACCAGCGAGAGAATAGCTACATAAAGGGTGCAGGAGCCGTGCGAGGGTGCAGTCACGTGAACAGCGTCGTGCACAGCTCTGGCGTCCTGATTGCTGGCACCCAGAACAGGAACTGGATTGCTTTGCCATCAGCAGGCTATTGGCAGATTATCAGAGTTTAGTCAGCAGCCGTGCTGGAATTAGAAAAACAGCCTTCCCTGGAAAGATCTCCCCGTCAGAGAGGCTGACAATAGGCCCTCCAACCAGAAAGAAGCGGGGGGGCGAGGGGAGGGCGCCTTCAGAAAAAGGACGGGAGAGATTTTGGAACGCGAACACAATTCTTTGAGTTCAGTTATCCAAGACGGGACCCAGCCGAGGCTTAGGGATTTAGCACTCCATTCCTGGCCGCTTATATGTAAGTAAATAATTTCATCTGCTGCTTGGCAATAAAGAGTGCTCTAAATCTTGGCCTTTGTGATTTGTCAGTTTTCTCCTACAGATCCTGTCCACCCATCATTTGGGTTACAGCAAATGGGGTAAGAGATTCCTGGGGAAGAAGGCTGTCATGGCGGTCTCACTCCCACTTTCTGGCAAGCTCTGTGTCCCAGGTCCCCCACGAGCCCCCCAAAGCCTACTCCCCCAGATAGCTCATTAACCATGGGCGTCTCCCCCCACAGGTCCTCAAGCCCGCCCTCCCCATGGTCTCTGAGGACCCACCTGAACCTCGCAGTCTGGAGCATCACTGCCCTCCACCCTGTCACGCTGCCTACCTGTGTATTTGTTGACCCCAGCCTCAGCGGCCACATCTCTGAGTGCCAGGATACCCCGGGAAAGGTCACTGGCCTCGGGGTCCATTTCAATGAGGGCGTCTGGGCCCACGTTACCGTAGGCATAATTGGCGATGTAGATGGAGTAGCGTCCAGAGCCCTGAGGAAGAAGGGGAAGAAGGGGTTGAGCAGACACATTAGGGCTCTTTGCGGTCTTTCCCCCAGAAAGCGGCTCTTCCCTGCGCTGGCAGGGCCGTGGCTCCTTCCCGGGGTTGGTGCCCCCTCCCCCATCTGGTGTCCATGGCCCTGCAGGCTGCCCACAGCGGGCACAGAGTGCTTTTTGCAGAGGCTGCCCCCAGGAACCAGGGTCTTACAACAAAGCAGCCCTGCCTCTCCTTCCACCCTGCTCCAGGAGAACACATCCCTCCCTCTCCCTCACAGCCACCTTTTATAGACAATTTTCTAATGTGCCTCCCTCCAGCTGAGCTCTCTCCAGCTGCCAGCCAGGGTAGCTGCTCAATAAATATTTGCTGATTGATTGATCTACCAATTCCCATTATTCTCCGTCTCTCGCTCCCATTCAAGCTCACTCCAGCCAAGATGACAAGCAAATTCCCTGAGCCATCTCCCTCCCCCTCCCCACCTGAACTCCTTTATTCCTCTATTTTGGTAGCGCAGGAACTCAGCTATGCAGGATCCTCCTTCCCTCTTCCATTCCCTTGTTTCCTCCATGTTACCAGAAAGAAATATCTATTGCTTCTGCCTTTATAACACTGTCTCAAATTTTCCCCCTTTGCATCCAGGAGAAGCCCGGGGCACCCTTTACTTGTCATTCTCCAGTCCGAAACACTGCTGAGGGAAGATTCTTTTCTGTCTGCTGTTATAATGATGTTATTTCTTCAATGGATGCCTCCTTTCTCCCAAGAGATCCACATGATTTCTAAATCAGTTTTCTAGTTTTCTGCTCATCTTTTCATCATTTCCCTCTAATTAACTAGATCGTAAATATTTCTTGTGCTCCAGCTACATGCAAGGCACTATGCTGTAAACGTACTTAGGAAGTCTTTGTCCCTAGGTTGCGTGTTGTCTAGTTGGAAGGCAAGTTATCGACTAAGACGACACAGGAGAAACAGCTGAGCTCCAAGCAGGCATGTACTGTCTCCCCCTCCTGGGCGCATTTGCTTGCTTTTATTTCTTATCCAAATGTCCCATAAGTGGGAACCCCCTGTCCCACCCAACCGGTCACTGGCTTTATTCCTTCTTAGGGCTCATTCTGTTGGGTGAGATCATTGAAGGAGTTTGGGGTCCCCAGGTGCACAGAGACATCAATGCGTCTCACTAAGAGACTATGCACAGGTCTTCCTACACATGCAGGGGAGCTTCTAACCCCAAGAAGGGGCACTAGCGGGGATTTCAGAAGGGTTTTCTAAGAGGAGTCTCAGCCAGGTGAAGCTGGAGAGAAAGAGCCTTCCAGGTAGAAATGAAACAGAATGCTTCATTCTGTGCAGAGCCACAAGAAGGCTCTTCAATGTTCTGGTTGGAAAAGGCGGGGCAGAACCTGTTGGGGGACAAAGACAGAGGTGACAGCTGTCTCCTAAAGATCCCGTCCCTTTTCTCTTTTGGCTTTCTGAGTTTCTGTTCTGCTACTTGGGAATCCTTGCTTCGCAGATCTCGTTACTCAAAGTGGTCCATGGACCCACAGCATTGGTATGTCCGGGAGCATTTTAGAAATACAGGCAGTCAGCTACCCAACCCCCACATTGGCTGAATCAGAAGCTGCATTTTCACAAGACATCTATGTGGTCCCCATGTGAAGGTGATGTTTGTGATGCACTGTGTTAAAACCCAGATTCAGGATGGGGGAGAACTCTGAAAGGTTCTTGCCCATCGCAGGAGCTCAGTCCTCTGTGTGGAATGATTGGATGAAGAGTGAATGAATGAGCCCAAAGGCGAAAGTCTCCATCACTGCAGCGCTTCTAACCCCACCAGCTGTTAGCAATCTCATCAACAAATGGGCAATTAAGCCTATGTGAACTGGAATGCACTCCGTTAGACATTAGAATACTTATAAAATTTGGCTCCACCTACTTCCCTGTGCCAACGTACTGGGGTGACAAAACCGACAAACACAGATGTGTTACAGTTGTAGCAGTTGCAGAACTTCACATGTGAACTTGGACCACAGTAATTCTGGGAGACTGAGTCATTCCAGGAAAAGGAAGATGTTTCTGCAGCTTTGGGTCCAGAGGGCAGGGTCTCATCCTTTGGCCTACATCAGAATCACCTCAAGGGCTTGTGAAACCACAGAGGCTGGGCTCCAGCCCCAGGATTTCTGCTTCAGGAGATACAGAGTGGCATTTCTGCTCCAAGGCCCCAGGGGAAGCTGCCCGGTTGTGGGTCCAGAGCTGCGGACTGAGAACCACAGGTCCAGGCTCCGCCCCCACCTGACTCTAGGCCCTTGGGCACGTTTTTCACCTGCTTTGGCTTCATCACCTCACATGTTAGTGCTTCCTGGCAGAGTTGTTGAGAAGATGAAATGAGACAACACATGTGAAAGGTCTTTGAAAAGATAAAAATGCTATATAAACATGAGGCATAATCATTATCGATCAGGGAACGCTTCTTGTAAGATATCGGCTTTGAGCGGGATCCAGAAAGGTGGGTGAGTGATGAGGCAGCTGAAGATGAAAGGCGGGCAGCTGTTCCAGGTTGGGGCAGAGAAGGGACCTGGCTACCAGGGCAGAGGGAGAGTCAGTGAGGTGGGTGGAGACGTTTACCTGACACCTTGGCTCTCAAAGCGAGCCTGCATCAGCAGGTGGAGCTGCATCAGCATCACCTGCGAGCCTAGCTGAAGCCTGATTACAGGCGTTGGGCTTCTGATTCGTGGGTCTGGAGGGTGGAGTGGGTGGAGCCTGAGAATTCGCATTTCTAACGATACTGACGCTGCTGGACCAGGGACCGCACTTTGAGAACCACGGACCAGGTAGGGGCTGAGGGACTGAAGATGTGTAGGATAAATGCTGTAAGAGAACTTGTGGTTAGAAACTTGTGTCTGATGCTGGTTCACCCAGAGGCAGGGTAGCTTAGGGATACAAAGGCATCTGATTTATTTTCGGGATAGGGGGACTCAATTCCTGGCTTTGTCTGCCACTTACATGTGATTGAGATCAAGTGGCACATTGCTTGGGGTCCTAGTTTCCATATCTGTAACATGGGGGTAACGACAGCGTGTATTTCATAGACTTATTGTGAAACTTCTGTGAGACGACCGAGGTAACCCCTGAGCGGGGCTTCCTATCTGTTAGTTTAGGGAGCATTACCTCTTCCTGTTGTGATCGCTACATGGTGCTGAATTCCCATCCCTCCCCTTCCAGCTGGCCTTAGCTGCTCCCTGCTCCTGCCCTCTGCCAGTCTCAGGCCTGGGACTGCCAAGGGTGTGGCTGGAGCAGAAGTTGGAAATCAGCCCCTGTCCTGCTGGCGATCCCTGTAGGGTTTGTCCTAGTCCCTGAGGCTGGGCTTGAGCAGGGGCTGAGCCGGCAGCTAAGTGCCCGCCCGCCTGTGGTGTCAGTCTCTTTTTTTGCCTTTGTCCCGTGGTTCAGTGCAGAGGTGTGCAGGTGACCTTGTTAGGACAGAGAGTGCATCTCTGTGTGATTAACCTTCACGGCCCTCCCACTAGCTCGAGAAGACTCCCACCTTAGCCGAGGCTGGGAAGCTCCTGTCCTAAATGAGTGAGACAGGAAACCAGGAGAGTAAGGTGCAGATGGGGGAGTCTGTCCCGCCCAGACCCTCCTCATTCTCTAGGTGCCCCCCAACACACACACAGCAGCCTCTCCGTCCCCTCCCACCGGGCAGGCAGGAGTCCAGGTGGCACAGATTCAGGTCAGGGCTAAATGTGGCTTCACAGCCCAGCTTGGCTTCTCTTCTCAGCACCAGCTTGTTAAGAAATAAATATTTATACCTGGCACCTGCCTTCTCCCAGGGCCTGGAGGCCCCTGCTGTGAAGATTCACGCTGAATCCCCAATCCCCTCAGTGCCATCTCCATTCCTAAACCAGCCGGCCCTTGCCCCTGCCCCCAGAGAGGGGCTCTGTGGAGGCTGGGCAGCAGCTGGGTCCCTGATTTAGTAATGACTGTTGATAAAGCCAAGGAGGGGGCGCAGGGGAGCAGGTGACAGGAGGGATAAATCACCTCCACGGCAAGCCTCCCGCACCACCGCTGGGGCCGCTGCCTGCCGGGGCGAGGCTGGAGCTGAGGCGGTGCCCACAGGGCAGGCGGCTGCAGCTGCTCGTGCCCTCTGCACTCCCCTTTCTTCTCCAGCTGCCATGGGCAGCATCTCTGGGGAGGCAGGGCACGGGGGCACCCAGGGAGCTATTGATTAACCAGTATTTGTACACTCAGGTCCCTCCCCTTGGCCTCTCCGCGCCCCTTTGTCAGACCTTCATTTGCACCATGAATATTTGCAGGGGCCTTGGGGCTCCATGCCTGGCACACGGTAGGCACTTACTAGTAAGGGTAGTCACTAGGTGAAGGAATGAGCCGGTTTAGAGTTAGAAGGCTCTGATTCGTGTCCTCTTCACAGACCACGCAGCGCTGCCCCAAGCTGGGCCTCGATGCCCTCATCTGTGCAGTGGACATGATGATCTTAGGATTTGGCAGCTACGATCGCCACGCGTTGCTGAGATGGGCTGTGCTCTCGGGCCCCTGCCTGGGACACCGCAGGGCTCCCAGCTGCTCTCACTGTGTGCTCCGCCCCAGGCCCCTGAACTCACCGTCCTGTCCACACAGGCCACAGAGCGCCCGGCAAAGAGGCTGGCCACGCCTCGGGCCACATTGACCTCGTCGCTCAGGACATCTTCCCACCGGTTATTGCGGAATTTGAACAGCTTGTCCGAGTAAGTGGCCACCCCTGGAGAGAGGAGGAGGAAAAGGAGGGCTGGGGGACAGCTCCGGGGTGCCCCCTGGCTCGGGCCAGAGGTGGGGTGCTCTGCGGCAGGGTGAGCACTCCTGCAGCACTTGCTTGTATGGGGAGCCACTTCTCTTTGGAGGTTACCCAAGTATTTTCAGTCAAGAGAAGAGACTCAGAGGTGTATGAAATGGCCAGCCCAGGCCTCAGCAACTAGGGGGGAGATGTCACTGTTGTGGTGCGGCTGGGAGGACTTGAGCAGTGGCTGCACCAGCACTCGGTGTTGGGGGGCAGTGTGGGGTCCTGGAACTGCCCCATTCCAGCACCTGGACCCCTCCAGAGACGCCCCGGTACTCTGCTTGCACAGATCCGACCTGGGTCTCTGACGGAGGGGATCTGGTTGGTGCTGGGTCTCTAAGTCGAGACAGAGGGGAGGCTGGGTGCTGAGCTCTGGTACGTGTGTCACCTCCACCCCCAGGGGAGCAGGACGGCAGCACTCAGGTGGGCTGAGGGGTCTGGGCAGCCCCCTGGGAGAGCCCTGCTTCCAGGACTGGGGAGCCCAGACATGGCGGTCTCCACCTCTTTTGGATACAGACTCCTTTGAGAAGTGGATAGAGGCTAAGGACCCCAGTGTAGGAAGTCATACGTGCGGGCACCCTACAACACACCACATGTACTCCCGAGCTTATTCCTGGCTAAAAGGCTGCTCTGGGAGGGGGAGGGAGCGAGGTCCAGAGGCTTGCTCTTCTGAGACTGCTAGGAAGTGCTTTCCCCCCACTCTCACCCGTGGTTTATTTCCTGCTAATGTGAGGCCCAAACATTTCTATTTTAGAGGGGATTATGTTCTACCTCTGGGGACCAGCTTGGGAAATACAGGAGAGGAGCAGGGGGAGGAACTGGGGGAAGGGAGCCTGGGGAAGCTGGATCTCTGGTTGGCCCAGGGGACACTTGGGGCTTACCCCAGGGGGACCAGAACAGCACAGCAGTCGAGGACTGAAGATTAGAGGACATGTCACATCCCTGCCTTGGTTCTACCTGGATTCTACTTTTCAGTTGTAGCTGTTGGCTTTGGGCTAGTAGCTTAGTATCGCTGAGGCTCAGTTATCTTATTTGTAAGTAACAAGCACACTCAAATTCACCCTGAGAATAAGTGATATAACACACATTCGAGCACTGGCACTGCATGTCCCGAAGTGGTAGGTGCTGGGGATGATTATTGCCATTGCATAGATGAGGCGCTCTCCAAGGTCCTGCAGGGACACTGGCTCTGCCCCTCAGGGGCTTGCGGGCACCAGCAGCTGTGAGAGTGAATGGATGAGGGAGTGAGAGTGCCTGTGAGGGTGCCTGAGAGCAGGAAGTGAATGTGAGAGTGAGTGTGAGAAAGTGCTAGAGAGTGAGGGGGAACGTGGAAAAGTGTGTGAGAACCGGTGAGTGAACCAGTGTGAGAAGGATTACCTGAGGGTGTGTGTGAGTGGGAGCTGTGTGAGGCAGTGTCAAAAGGATTCCTCAGGCCCTCCCTGGTGGCGCAGCTGGTTAAAGCACAGCACTAAGAAGCTAAAGCCACTTCCGTATGAGTTCGATCCCTGCCTGCCCCGGAGGTGACCACATGGCGCGGCAGACCTCTCCTGACCCGCCCACTGCTCCCCTCGGCAGTGTACTTCATCAATCTGCCTGTTCTGCTCCCCACTCTGTCTCTGGTGAATCCTCTCACCACCCCTGTACCTCTGGCCTGTACCCCAGTTCTGTATGTACAAATAAATAAATCTTAAAAAAAAAAAAAGATTCCTGAGGCTCCTCTGCCTAGAAGATGAGAGTCTGATCTCTCTGTGCCCCCCATGGGGCCTCCTGAGATCTCAGGAACCTGCAGGAACACAGCTGTGGGTCTGGAGTTGACCTCCGAAACACCCACCACACAGCAGGGAGCTGGGCCTGCTGCTTGACCCTCTATGGGGAGGCCTGTCCAGGGGGAATGGCCTGCCCGGGGGCTGGGAGAGACCCAGGAGACCTGCAGGTGCTTCTTCTGGTGGACACTGGGGCCAAGAAGCCACAGCCGTGATGGGGGCCGCAGGGCTCTCAAGAGCCACTTCCTGCAGAAGCACCGGGCTTGGCCTCAGTGACTGAGCTAGCATCTGCTCTGGCTCCCATCCCCTCATTTTGGTCAATTCCTTATCCTCTTTCAATGTGGTTTTCTTATCTGAGAGTTGGGAGGCAGCTCTGCTCCTCAGCGCAGCTGTGGAATTTCAGGAGGAGACACAGGGCCACCCTGGCACGGTGGCCATGGGTCAGACAGGCCCCTGGGTGCTCAGGCCCTGGCTGCAACCCTGGGGACTGGATGTGTTCAGGGATTTAGACTCCCCCCTTTATGTTTTAGAAAGGTAACAGTGCACATACCATTTATTGCATAACACCCCAGCAGGGACTGGGGCAGTACCCTGTAATTAAACACATTAATATTTCTGCAGTGAAATATATGAATATTCACACCAAGTGGGATAAATAAAGTCTATAAATAGTTCCCATCATCTCAGGACAGGTTTTGCTATCAATTCACTTTCCCGCAAACTTAAAAAAAGCACCTGAGACTTCCAGAGTGCTCTGGATTTCAGGGCTGCAGGATTTCAGGCTGCCGTCCCCACGGGCTCCCTGGGCAGCGGCGGGCTTGTCATCACTTCCTAGTGCCTGGGGGCCTCCGAGTGGGCCCCACAGGCTTCCAGGTCTCCAGCCTTCACCAACAGCAAGTGACCCTTGCCCTTCTCTGTCAAATCAGGGCCCCTTTAGATGCTACCACCAGCACAAATAGAAATACTGAAGCTAAATTCTACCAAAGCTTGGGCCTGGGGGAGAAAACAGCTGCCAGCAGCTGGGGCTCTGGAGAGCTTCGGGGGGGATGTGGGGGGATTTTCTCAAGTCCCCAAGTTCCTGCCCGCACTAGCCAACAGGAGAAGATGGGCCCCTGGTTGACTCTCGCGACCTGTTTGCCTCGTCACCTCCAATTCCCCCTCCCTACCCAAGACAACTGTTCACAAAGTCTGTTTTAGAGAACTCTGATCTCTCAGCTTCTGGAGAAAAGGTTTCGTCATGATCTGCGCTTGGGAATGACCAAGTACTCCAACCCCCTCTGGGAGGTGCTCGGTAGACATCAGTCTATGCAAAGCTCTGTAAACCCTGCAGTAAATTACAGGTTAGATTTTATTTAATTCAGCCTTTCCCAAATGCACTTGACCATGGAACCCTTTCCTGCAGCACATCCATAGCAGGCACTGTTCTTAGCAAATTGCTGTCCTAGGGTGTTGGTCAGGTGCTGGGCTTTGTGGCCAGAGGGGTTAGGGTGCCATGTATTGTTAGCCTCTTCCCTTGTTCCAGCCTCCTGGCTTCCAAGCTGACCAGGGACGCCCAGAAGAATAAACTAATTAAGGTAAAATGTGCAACAGTGATGCAGAGCCTTGTAGATCATAAATGGGAACGGCAAAATCAATGGCAGCCCTTCTGCAGGCAGAGGCCTGGAGGCCTGGGCGACAGCAGGGGTGGGAGCCCGTGATTTAGGAAGAGCGAACGCTCTGGCAGCTGCAACCTGGGTAATTAGGTGTGTCAGGAAGACAGATAAACAGTGAGCTGTGCGGGTCGATGGCACAGGTAATAAACACTCAGCACTGGCCCCCGGCCCGTGTCAGTGTGCAATCCTGCCCGGGGCTCCTTGTAGCTGCATTCTGCCCCGGGTGCCCTCGCTGAGTTGGGACAGTCATGAGGGCGGAGGAGGAAAGGGCTCTTCTGAGTCCTTGGGGAGACCCTGAGCTGGGGGAGGCCTGGAGAAGTGGGAGGGGGTTCAAGAGCAGAGTAGGGGGCTGCTGGGAGAGCCCATTTGCTGATTTCCAGTCCCACCTGACTTGGGACCTTGGTATTAAAGGAGCCTGGAAGATCTGACAGTCGGGGAGATCTGCCAGTTGCTGCCAGGCCGGTGGATGAGGCTGTGGTACCCACCAGGCCCTGCTGGGTGCCAGGTGCTAGAGGTGTCACAGGGAAGTGGGCATCTTTGTCCCTGACTGAGCATGCCCGCAAATCAGCTGGCAACAGGACAGGCAGGTGGAGCAGATGCCAAGGGCCAGTAGTAAAACTCATAGCATGTAACGTACTTGTGACACTTTCCAAGTGCCAGGCACTTCACAAATGACCCTCTCTAGCCCTCACCAACCCCCACGGCTATTTACAGACAAAGAGCCTAAAGTATGTGAGACAAAGGACCAGCTTGCTTAAGACTCAGCAGCTAGTAGAACCCCCGGGGGCAAGACAGGGTGAGGGACCACCATGGGAAGATGCCATGGAATCAGGATGGAGTGGCACAGGGGACCCCGATCAGGGGCTTCATGGAGGAGGCATCTGAACGAGGCCTGGAAAGGGCACCGTAACTCGCCTAGCACACTTCATCTTGCGAGGCCCGTGAGAAGCACTTATTTCACAACCGGCGCCTCATCTAAACCCCACAGCCGCCCTAAGAAGCAGTGTGGCCCCATTTTACAGGTGGAGAAGCTGAGGGGCAGAGAGGTTGTGACACTTGTCCAAGCTCACCGAGCTAGCGAGCGACTGCAGACTGAAACCCAGGTCTGAGTTCTGAGCCTGTTCTCTTTGGCTTAGGCAGTGTGACAGGCTGGTGCTCTAGGCAGGAGGGGTGGGTGACCTAGGATGTGCCCAGAAGGGATCTGTGCAGGCGGAGGAGGAGAAACGTAGAAGGAGACACCCACTAATCCCAGGAAAGTGAAGAAGGGGCCATTTGTGCTTTGTGAGCTGGGAAGACAGTGCTTACAGAAAGCTTCCCCAGCAGGGGAGCGAAGAGTGGGCGAGCAAGGAAGAAAGCGAAGGCCCTGTCACTTTTACAGTAACTCGGGTTCCACCCTGGGGGATGAGTGGCCGTGAGGAGGAGGAGCAGGAGGCTGGAGGCCAGAGGCTGGGCAGGAAGGGCAGGGGCATTTTGAGATGTGGTAGAGCAGAGCAAAGTGTGGACAGTGACA